AAAAGATATTTTACATGTTTTGAATCAATGAAACTTCTGCCGCTTGAATTAGTAAGATGTGAAAGTGGTGACAGAAATATTTAAGGAAAATAGAACTCCATGTATTTTGTGAGCAAAACTGTCAGTAAAGTGTGGCTAGCCTTACTTTTTTGAACACTTTGACTAGGTTCTTTAATGTCAAGATTTCATTTGGGTCAGAATTAATAAAGACAATCAATCATGTGAAGGGAGTAACCCATTAATTTAATAGATCTTTTTTGAGATCCTAATGAGTCCCTAATGAGTTAACCATTTCAGCTTGCTCGTTTCCACAATCAACACACCTGGCACCAGCAGTCAGGAAATCAAAAGATGAACTGCAGTAGGGAAGTATGCTGTCAGGGACCTCACCAGAATGCAGAAGACCAGGGGTGTCAATACAGAGACTAAGGTGCACCTGATCCAGGCCATGGTCTTTGCAATTCCTTGCTAAGTATCAGAGAGCTGGACAATGACTAAGGATGACAGAAGAAGTAATGATGTCTTTGAGTTGTGGAGCTGGAGAAGAGTTTTGAACATATGACGGACTGCCAAGAGAACTAACAGGAGAGAGTTTCACCCCGGAGAGGGTGAAACCAAGCTCCTCCTTGGAGGAGAGGGTTTTGAGACTCCATCTCACATATTTTGGGCATGTAGCAAGGAGGCACCAGTCTTTGGAGAAGGATATCATGTTTGGAATGGTTAAAGGACAGCACAGGAGAGAAAGTCCCTGGATGAGATGGATTGATACAACCGGGGTAATGAGGGTAGGTGTGTAAGAGACAATGAGACTGGCTCAGGATAGACCCGGGTTCATTGCAAAATGTCACTATGAGTAATAGTCAACTCAACCACACATAACAACAGTGAGTACCAGTAATATCAATACTGATGTGAGAGACCAGAACATGCATATTAGAACCTGGAGGATTGTAGAAGAGAAACATGAAAGTAAAAAACAAACAAACAAACAAACAACCAAAAAAACCCACAAAAAAACCAAAACAAACCCCAAACCAAACCAAGCAAAAAACCAAACCGAAACAAAATCTTGTTAAAATGGGAGCAAAGTCCAAATTAGCAGTCCTGTGTTTCAATTCTTGGGTGACTGATGAAGAAGTGTAAGGGTGTCTAGGTTAGAATAGTTCTCAAACTTCAACTGCTTTAGAATCACCTGCAGAGCTTTGTAAAGCATGAATGCCCCACTCACTCATTTAGAGCTCCTTATTTAAATATATGGACAAAAAATATTCGGTCTCTCGGAAATGATCTTGGAGAGATGCTACCATTGTTCTGGTTTCTGGTTATTGTCTCCATCCTGATTCACAGTGACCCCACAGAGTGAAGCAGAATGTCTGAGTGTAGAATATTCCTATAATTGGACATCTGTAATCTATAAGGCAATAGTGGCTGGCTTTTAGAACTACACTGCCAGGCTTCAGGTCTTATTCCTTTGGAAGCTCCAATGAAATCTGTCAAGCTTACTAGCCAAATGCAAGCCTCCACCGACAAATGAACTCCGAGTGTTCACGGACTGCTTTGTTCACGAATCCGAACAAGGTCTCCAACATGGAGAGTGATTTTACTGCTGAAGCATTAATGCCTCAGAATAATACAAATGGGAAGATATTGATAAAGAGAATAGGAAAATGTCATTGAAACATTATACTCTTATGCAAATAATGCACATGCTATACTATTTTTTGCTAATCTTATCATCTTTCTAAGAAGTATTTTTATAAATTCACTATTTTTTATACATTATGTACACAAAATTAGCAGAGCATATTGATGGAAATACTTCAAGAAGAACACTGAGAAGGGTAGAAAAATGCTTAAACTGTGATAATTGGAGGGAAATATTGTTGTTGTTGTTGTTGTTTGTATCGTCAAATCAGATCTGACTGATACAGGAGGAGATTATTCCTCCTTCTCCAGCAAAGCATCTAGTGGATTTGAACTGTGCACCTCTGGGATTGCAGTGCAGCTTCTTGCCACTAGGCCACCAGAGTTCTCCAATGGAAATACAGTAAATATAAAAAAGAGGGAGGGATAATAAGTCAGTGACATATCTGACTACTGATAATCAGGTTTGGTTTCGATGTTTTGAGAAGTTGTTTTGTTTTGCATTTAGGTGAAAAGAAAAATACAATGCAGCATATTTTCATTAGATAGAAGTCCATTTGGACCACATGCCAGATAAATCTGGATTCAACATTTATAAGCTAACAGGAATCAGGAAACTTCTAAGGATAAATATTTCTAACTCAACTTGCCAATGTAAGCAGGATACTGATAAAGAAACATGTTTTAAAAGAGTGTTGTAGGCCCTTGATTTGCCTTAATAATTATAAACTGAGAGAGGAAAACTCCAGAGCTAACAGCTATAACCAAGATCAGTGAAATCACAGCTGAAATCATCGCTCAGCGATGCCCAGAGACTGTAGACAGTCATCACTCAGTGATGCCCAGAGAGTGTAGACAGTCATCACTCAGTGATGCCCAGAGAGTG